TTTGATGATCCTTCTTCGTAGCAAAAGTATGGTGCAAATACACAACCTTCAACACATTTCCTACGCAAGAACTTGCATCCTCCACATGGTGAACCTAAACCTCCCATTTTTTTTTTCAAAATATTATTAATAATCTTTAACTAAATGTTATGTTATTGTTCTTGATATACTTTCTTTCTTTTTGCTTGGAGGAAGATTAATACTACACTAATGATGATTATATAGTGCATGCGTGTTTATGTTGAGGTAAGAAGAATAAATGAAGAAGGTGGGATCTTATTATATAAATGATACTCAATTTGTTATTTTACACATATGTCTCTCTAATGGCGTACAATTACAAAATTACAGCTTTTTTTAATTTCCTCAAGTTTATATATACATTGTAAAATATGTATTTTCTTTTATATAATGTAAGGAGGGGAGTTTTAGAATTGTTTTTGAGTGAGAACTATATTTATATTGAGATCTTATCGAATGAGAGATTTGGTTGACGTATAGGACAAAACAATGACTAAACATAAACCAAACCCAATTCGCTTTTTGTTTTGATTATTTGGTATACTCGTGTGTTATAGCTTTTTATTCCTTATTTACTTAAGTATAAATGATTAAGAGTTTTCTTTGAATGTTTTTTTTTTTTGGTATGAGTTTTCTTTGAATGTTTGTTCACTTTACTATTTGTCATCGGTACGACTGAAAGTGAATGATTTCAAGTTAATATTTTGCATTTTTTTAATGCATATGAGAGTGAATTAAGTACCATTTATAAGAATGTATAAAAATATAGTTTTATGATAATTCATATGTTTCATGTTATGTAAAAGTTATATATATATATTATTTTTTTCTTCATTATTAGAAATTTTGGACGAACCTGCAAACAAACATTAGTCTATGAAACAAGTTATTTATAGATAAATTTTAAAGATTTGCTATGCTATCAGTTTCGACAAAAAACTTTACAGACTAGAAAAGTAAAGACCCATGATTATCCAGCCCACATGATAATCATGAATCATGATTATACAAAGATATTCCAAAATAATTGATTAAGTACAAAAGTTTAATCATTCGAAAAATAATGAACAACTGATAGTGGATTTATGACTTAATGTTGGTTAAGTGAAGATTAAACTAATACACAAGTGTACGTACATAGACGTGTATTCATTTGAATATTGGTGATGAGGAATACTCGCAAATATGTCTCACAAGTGACATA